TTATCGCCTGAAGAAGACTAGCAGTAAGCAGTCGAAACGTCGCGATCTACATCTAAAGTGACTACATCGTGTGACAAACGATAATACACTTTATTATTCGATATTTTATAAACAAAATTCAATTAAGAAGATGTTTTGTTATGTTTGTGACCGCACTTTTGTTTTTTATTTTTACTCAAGCTGAAATGGCCGAAGAATAAGAATAACTCCTGCGTGACTGGTGTTCTCTGCAGTGATTTTCTCTTTCAAAGATAAAATAAGTCCGTATACAAACTTGTTATCAGAATTCCGAGTCTTGACAACATCGACGAAGACTGCATGCCAAAGCTTGCACTTGTGTCTTTCCTAATAACACAGCGAAATTAACCCGCTCAGGGTTCACTAACCACACCACTCCTCCCCAAGGATAAGAAAAACAACGAGCGTTCAATTAACAAAATGCGACGAGACCTGCAGTTCAGGTCAGAATATGAATGAATATCGACCCGAAAATAGACCAGGCACGATGGGTACTTGTAAAAAAATCCCCTTAAACGATCAATGTATTGACAAATTTCTTTTTAATCCCTGAGCCTCGATCGAGTTTGAATAACATTTGTTAATAACCGCAGTCCCGTCTTATGTGTTATTTTTAATAAAAGGCCTTCTTACCATGGGAGGGTCCAGGTTTGTTGGACTTCAATACTGGAGCTTTCTTTCCTATTTTGTCCTGTCCACCGTTAAAAACATAGCAGTTTCCGTATGCATAATGCCAGAAAGAAGTCCAATACACGCTGGAAAAGTTCCTTGAACAAAGGAAAAATGCAGTTAGACTCATGAGTGCGAGCTCAGTCTATCTTGACTCAAAGTTGAAATTACTCCCAAGTTTCCGCTCGATTCGCATTTTTGTTATTTACAGTGTCTACCAAGCGGGAAGGTGATATGAGTGAGAAAAAATCTGACAAAGAGGGCGATTGGCTATTTCTTGCAAAGCCTTCTCAAAGATGAAATTCTGCAATGAACGGATTTGACCGGTTGACTGACTGACTGACGGTCTAACTGACGGTCTGACTGACTGACTGCCGGACCGGCTGACTAACTAACTGAATGACTGTCTGAATAAATGACTAACTGACTCATTGACTGACTGCTTGCTATATAAATTAATCGATTGAAATTATTTTTAAATGCACGTGCAAGCAGTCTTTTTTTCCCCTAAGTATCAATAGCTTGAATAGGAAAATTAAACGCAACACGCAAAGGAAGGAACACGTTTCTTCTCCTTAAATTGCGTTTGTCTGAATTTTCGTTCGCGCAGATGGTCTGATCTGAGGAAAACAAAGCTGGACTACAGCCTGAACTTCTCTTACCCACATGAGACGCCTCGGTAGGTACAGGACAGCACAAAATCGTCAAACTGATGTCCATAAGGCATCAATTCCTCGGGTTCTGCCTCAGCCATAATCATTATCATTTCCTCACTGTTTCTAAAATCTTCATCCAGTGAATCTGGGTCCTCGATTCCTTCCTCTTCCTCTTCATATTGATCAAAATTGAACGAGCCTTGATCACCTAATGGGTTATTCACTGCTCTTCTTTTGCGACTGGCTTTTGAACCTGTAGAGTTCAGTTCGCAAAATAATTCTGTTAGTAGTGGTAATCGCATGAATATGGCTGCCGTTCGTTAGGGATTTACTCTGCCAGCGATATTTGAAAATTAAAGGCTCATGCAATTTAAAAGGCTTGAGTTTTGATTTCAATTGAGTGTCGAAAGTATACGTTTGCATTTGCGTTGGTTTTGCATCGCTATGATAAGCGATTGGCTTAAAAGAAACTTGCGCCACTATCACATCCAATCAGCAGAAGTAAAACCAAAAGGAAACGCGATTCGCCCGCACTCGTTTTGATTGGTTGCACTCGTTTTGATTGGTTCACAGGATTGCCCCCTTTAGGATTGGCCAGAGGGATGACCTTCGTTTTGGTTTTACGGAATTGTTAACAGCAAATTTTAAAAGAATTTCTCCGCCCGGGAGTTTCTGGGCTCTAACACCAGCGTAAATAGAATAACAAAATCCTTTACAACTTACTGTTTTTCGGGATTTCTGCTTTAATGTCATCCCTCAACTCTTCAGGGAAAAAATCAATAGCGCTCAGCTTCACTGCATTAAAGTTGCAAACAGTTATAGCAGGAAAGTCAAGACTCTGAAAAAGAAAAGAGCACTCAGTTGGAATGAGTCAGTTATGAAATTTTACAAAAGTAACTTTCTTAAACTGTATGCATGCAATAACGTGTTTTATACTCTTGTATTAGAACTATGTCATGCATGATATGCATCCGAGGGGACTACCATGCAAAAAAGGTTGGAGATGCTACTCGAAAAATTTGTATTGAACCCCAGAAGGATACCAACCCAGCATTATTTCTTCGAGTGCAACCCTAAAAGATACCTTGAAGACTAAAAATAGTGGTGTTTGGTCCTGAAAGCCCCAAGTGAGACCAAATTTCGTGATTTACACCCCTCCCTAAGCGAGGCGACGAGCTATTCGCCATAGCTTTTTTCACATGGGAGCCCTTCCCCCGCGGGAATATGCTAATTTATCCAAGTTTGGTTTGGTAAAAGGCAAAAAACTAAGAGCACCCCAGTAAAATTCATATCTTGGCACAATCTGGATGGTGATACAACCTCCGGCATCACGTGTCTAAAATGTTGCTTAAAAGCAATACAAGAAAAGCGCGCCAAATTCGAAACATGCCAAGGTCTCGGTTGACATCTGCTAAAAAAAGATTTAACTTATATTTGACGCTGAATCTTGCTTCCGGTTCTGGATTTGACCAGAGCTCTATATTCAGGAACGAGATTGGTCGCTTGTAGATATATTAAATTGCAGTACAGGCACAGACACGGGAATTAGATGATGAACTCGGATGATTTTAATTTTGGAGTTTGAAATGGGAAAACAGCTTACACTTGTAATAACTATCCTCTCGGATCTCTTATGGGTGACTGTCGTCTTCATATGCGAGTACACTTAACCGTACGTATTCACATCGATCGATCAACATTCTGCTCAGTGGAGCTGCTGAGGGTAGAATTTCAGCAGTATAAAGTCAAAATAAATTTTTTAATTTGGTTAAAAAATACTAATGAATTAAGTGTCCAACCTTCTATAGTAGCGGATCACAGCGGATCTAACAATTGGGATGCGCTCAACGTTGCTAAAGTGACGAATCAGCCACTAATGTAATGAAGCACCCACTACAACTCGTCCCTTGCTATCGCAATCACGGGTTAAAAACTGACTCCCTTACCGTTTCGTGTTGTATGGCAACGTGAGTGCTCAAAGGTCGGGATTTGTACGTCTCAAACAGTGTCGCTATCTGCCATGAAGACACCCCCAGTGCGGCCAGAAATAACAAAGTCCAAAAGATTTTCCTGACCAACTGTTTTGACGCGAGAATGCGAGGAGGCCCATGTCCTGATGTGTATTCAAAATAGTCCAGAATCAAAAATCGAATAGAATACTGTTTCTCGTCATCTTCTTTGGTTTCTTCCTCTTCAGAAGGTTTCGTGAAAGCTGTCTTCATTGGCTTTTCTATATTCTTCTTAAAGGAATTGATGTCTTCCATTGGGAATACTATATCGCTGTCACTCTTTTGTCCTTTCAGCATGGATGAATGTTTCAATATCAATCTGTTGAGAATGTAACGGATAAGGGAAGGTAAACAAGCGTGCTAAATAAAGAAAAGAAAGCAAATGAGAATTCTGAGCTTCTCTCTTGCACCTGTGAAACTTCAAGTCCATTTTCATCTCGTATTAGCTCGCAGAAGCTTTACCAATTAGCGCAGTCAGACTACACTCGAGTATACAGGATGGTCTATTTTAATCGTTTTTACGCGTAAAGCCACTGTGTTTTCATGGTGACCACAATGTTATTAACCAATGAAGCTATCAGAAGAGTGATATTGAATCAATAAAACCTAACTTAATACAACAACAACAATAATAACAACATCAGTATTTTAGTATTCCCATGGCATTGTATAAAAATAGTTAGAATATAGATCTGTATGTCCGCTATTGGAGCTGAGTTTGCGTTTCTTTTGTTTATATATGCACGGCTGGACATTATAGAAAACGTGTATCCCGGATGTTGTGTTGCCAACGCAGATTCTTTTCCTCTCAGATGTAAATGTTTTCGCTTTTTTTCATGCTCTAGCGCTGTATTTTAAACCATCAAAAATAAGCGACTTTTTAAAACATTTAGCTATAAAAAATTGTGAAAAAACTTTTCTT